TTAAATAAAATATTATTTTAGATAAACCTCCTCCATAACAAATACGTGGTTCTTTAACTGTTTGAGATAGAACACAAAGTGCACCATGAATTGATCGTTCAGCTTCATCAAGAATTTGTTGTGTAGCACCATGTAATACAATTGTACATGCTTCACCTTGTGTTACTCCTATATTTTCAACTCAAATAAAATTTCTTTTGTCTATACAAAAATCCAGTACCTGACAATTTAATAAGTTTATCTTCATTAACAATAACTTCTTCAATAAGAATACATTTTCCTAAACGTATTTCATCTGGTGTATCCAATGTTGATACAATATCTGCATCTAAGTTAATTTTTCGTTTAAATAAAAAACCAAAAAAAAGAAATTCTTTATTCTTTTACCAAGTATTTGTGCTAAACGTTTTAAACCGTCAAAATCTGTATGTTCAATAGTCATAACACCTTTTTCAGCAAATAATTGATTGGCATAATCACAAATTAATTGTCTAGAAAGATTAAATGTTCTATATAAATAAAATAATTTGCATTTTTTTTCTACCTATTAATAAAAAGATTACAACTAAATTGAAGAATTTTTTCAACTTTATCTTTTATTTTTTCGTTTTTAGCTAATTCTAATTGAACTAGTTTAGCAATTGAATCAATATGCACAGATGAATCAGATACTTTTCTTTTATCTGTATCCATTGGTATATTTGCAATTAAAATACGAGCATTTTCAATACGTTTCGGCATATTCGTACCAATACGTTCTCCTAATAGAAAACCTGAAAAGAAATAAAAATAAAAATATTATTTTTTGATTAATTACAACAAATATTTTCTTATCTTCTTCAAGATATGAATCATTAAGATTATTTCTTAAAAGTTTTACTATTTGAATATGTTTTAAATCAGTTTTATCCTAAACAAGATAATTTTAATTTTTTTTCTTAAGTTAAATGAAGATATTTACATGTATTTTTAACATAGCATCAACACATAATTTCGATAAATGATCTTTTTTTTCTTGAAGAATTTTTGAACTAAGTGTTGTACGAGCAATATTCATAAGATCACTTTTAAACTGTTCCAAGTTTGAACTAATCGAATAAATATAAAATACAACATTTTCTTTATTTAATTATCTTCTCTCATACCTATTATTTTTAGCAACACCTTCCAAAACTGTAAGTGCTTCATTAGTTGCTTTCCGCCATCCTGTAATAATCGTCTGAAGATGAATTTTTTGTGCAAGTAAATTTTCCGTTTCCTATTATAATCAAAAAAATTTTCAATAAAAAGAATTTCAAAACAAAAAAAAATCATACTCGAAGTAGTTCACTAGCTAAAACAACAACAGATTTTGAGCCATCACCAACTTCATCATATTGTACTTTTGAAATATCTGTTAATTAAAAACAATAAATCATCGAAATAAAAATATATTAAAAAAATATACCAACAAGATCTTTTACTACCGGATTATCAACACCAATTTTTGATAATATCATTGTTCTATTATTTGTTATTAATAATTTATCTGCATCAAGTCCACCACTCATATTATATCGAAGAATTTTATCCTGAAAAAAAAAACAAGTTTCATGCATAAAAATAATAAATACGAAACAATTTGTACCATGCCCTTTGGACCAAGTGCACTTTTAACAAGATTACCAACAGCGATAGCTTTAGAAAAAGTAGACTATTAAGATTATTATATAAAAACAAATATTAATTGAAAATATAATAAAATAAAGTAATTTGATCTCTTACATATTTAATATCTTTTGATGATGTATCATTAGAAAATTTTTTAATTGTTTTTTCAGTATATTCTTCATCAAAAAATTCTAAACGATCGACTTCTTCACCATGT